CACTGAGAAAGAAGTAGACGATCATGTTAATATGATAGTGGAGTCTCTGCCAGTGTCTGACGCAAAGATAAAACAAATATGCGAGGAGACAGCTGCAGACAGGGAGCTGCAAACGGTGATGGAAAATATCCAAGGGGACTGGCCCAAAGGTTCTTGTTCAAAGTATTATCATGTTAGATCGGAGCTCAATGTGGTAAATGGACTGCTGTTGAGAGGCAATAGGATTGTGATACCACATAGTCTGAGACAGCTGATACTTCAAAGAATACATGAGGGACATCTGGGAATAGAAAAGTGTAAAAGGAGGGCTAGAGACACTGTGTACTGGCCTGGCATTAATAAAGACATTGAGACCATGGTCGGAAAGTGTGAAACATGTAACAAGTTTCAGAGCAGACAGGCAAGAGAACCCATGATGATTCCTGAACTTCCTACAGCGCCTTGGAGGAAAGTCGGAACAGATTTATTTCATTTTAATGGGAAAGACTATCTGTTGGTGATAGATTATTACTCTAACTTTCCTGAGATTGCTCTGCTTACAAGTACAACTGCTAATAATGTGATCACACATGTGAAGTCTATCTTTTCCAGGCATGGAATACCTGAAACTGTCATTAGTGACAATGGTCCTTGCTATAATTGCAAAGAATGGCAGAATTTCGCAAGAGAATACGGCTTTAAACATGTCACATCAAGTCCTCAACATCCACAGGCAAATGGCAAGGCTGAAAAAGGAGTGCATATCATCAAGCAGCTTCTGAAGAAGGCTACAGACAGTCGATCAGATCCTTATTTAGCTATGCTGAGCTACAGGACTGCTCCTCTTGACTGTGGTTTATCCCCTGCAGAATTGCTGATGAATCGTAAGCTACACACAACTTTGCCCTGCTATGCAGAAAGCAAGCAGAGTGAAGAAATTATAAAAAAGCAAGAGCATCTGAAATGGAAGCAAAAACTGCAATACGACAAGGGAACAAGAGCACTTGGATTGCTTGCAAAGGATGATGTAGTGAGAATCCAAGATCAGAATGCATGGAGCAGGAAAGCCATTGTTCTTCAGGAAGCAGGTCCGAGATCATATGACGTAAGAACTGAAGAAGGTCATGTGTTCAGAAGGAACCGTCGTAACTTGCTGAAGACTAAAGAGACATTTCAGGAGGAACAATATGGTGAGGAAGATGAAAATGTTGATGTGTCACATGCAGAGACAGTGTCTGGTTTTAAACCACTGGATGGACATGGGCATGTGGAGAAGAGTGCAGTTGTTTCAGAACCTGTATTGAGGAGGTCAGAGCGTAAGGTCAAAAGACCAGTTAGGCTTAATCTGTAAAGCTACGACTGGATTTGTTTTTATCTTATATTCTGATGGTGTTGAAAAACAATTATGTGTATCATATGTGTATATGTTGATTCGTGGGACCTATGTTGTCAGAGAAAAGGGGATGTGGTGATGTGTGGGTGTTCATGTGCTAATGGGGTTTTGCCCTGTGTGATGACGCTCCCTGTGATGAACACTCCACAAACTGCAAATCAGGCGATGGAGCTTTCAGCTGTATTTGTAACAAAGGCTACATGCAAACAGACTACAGTAATAGAATGTGCATTGGTAAGACAATTTCCTGAGCAAAGTAAGTGGTGTGTGTGTCTGTGTGTGTCTTATGTAAGCAAACGACAAAGTGTCTCAATATTTCTTTTTTTACAGCTTGTCCCTTTGGGAAAGAATTGAAGGATAATGAGTGCGTGACGTAAGTACTCCTTCCCCTCCTGTTTGTCCTCTGTTGATGTAAGGTTGCTTTTAAATATAAATCTTAAAATCAACCTTCTTCTTGTCTTGCAGATGCTCGTTTGGTTATTCTGGTTTTAACTGCTCAGAAAGTGAGTATACTGCATGTTTTTAAAGTGAAAGCAGAAGCATGGTTACTTAATGACAGCTATTTAAAGAAAAAACTCACAAGATAAAATATAACACATGATACAATAGGTAGAAAGGTTATTCAAAAGCTGGAAAATGTGATAAAAGTTTATGTCCTCTTCATTGTGTTTTATTAGACTGGCAGCTCATTCTGGTAATTGTGGGCTCTGTGCTTGGAGGACTGCTGCTCATAGCCATCATCCTTCTACCAGTAGTAGCTACCCAGTAAGTTTCTTACCAATAACAATAACATCTTTCATTTGCCCCCATAAATGTGAGAAAGTGTTTTTCCTCATTTTGATTTAGGCTTTATTTTAGATGCAAATGCAATTAAAATCAAGAGAATTTGTTCATGTCTGACAGACACAATAGTGAATTCTAATATTATTTTACTGCTGTGATTTCAGAAAATTGAACATAAGCTTCAAGAAGAACAAAAGTGCAGAAATGGAAAAACCCTACACTAACCCGAGTTCTGCCGCACAACCGATGGCTAGCAACAAGTTTGGCCACAGCCAGGGAGTCTCATTTAACAGGTCAGCCAATGGCCATTCAGGTTTTCAGAATGGTGGGGTGCCTGTGTTCCCACGAGCTGCCACCACCACCAACAGCTGGGACAACAGGACCAACCTGGAGATGAAACCAAGCAATGGCCGACAAAACTTTGGACATATGAACAGTGGTTCGGTGAGTATGTCTCTGTGTGTATAGAGAAGAAATACCCTCATCAGGCTTTTTGGTTTCTTAGTGTTTGGCATTAAATTCACTCTCTCTTTTTTTTCCTCTGTAGCGGTTATATGATGAATCATACGATCAGGCTCAATCTCAGAACAACTCTTATGCCCAGAATCAACCTACAATGAACCCGTATACTCAGAACCAAGGCCACAGCAACCCGTACTACACACACGATGATGGAAGACGCTACTAGTAGTACAAAATCAGAAAGGCTCACTATACAATGATAGGTTTATGTTTTTAAATGTATTTTATAATTACTGTATGTAATGAACCTTATTGAATCCTATGTATCTGACTACAGTACAAACAGTCATAAACCAGTCATGTCTGATCGTGACTACTTTATATCAAGTTGGTGGCATGATTTTGAGGATTAGTCTCTTTTTTTTTTTTTATCTGTTTTGGTTCATTGAAGTATGAATTACTGAAGAGTTGTCTATTCAAACTGAATGAGAAACCTGGACGTCCATGTCCAAATATAATGCGATAATGAGGAGCTGCTTAATATTGTTGTGTTATCCGATTAATGCTTCCTTCATGTATGAATTCAGCATTTCTTTTTTTCATGTAAAAATTTTTTGTAATGAACTGAAATTTGATGTTTAATTCAGTTTTTGTGAATGACATGAGTTTCTTCTAATAAAATTCTAAGAACCTGTTGCACATGTGTGTGCATGTGTGTGTCAAAGATGTAGCCTTTTTGTCAAATCTGGTCACTTCCAATTACAACAAGGATATCGGTATCCATACATATACACATATACACACATATACACACATATATATATATATGTATATATGTGTATATGTATATATATATACATATACACATATACACATATATACATATACACATATACACATATATACACACATATACACACATATACACATATATATATATATATATATATATATATATATATATATATATATATAATATATATATATATATATATATATATATATATATATACATACATACGATAAACTTTTCCGCTTATATATATATATATATATATAACAAGGAGAGCGTATCTGATCAGCGCTCTCCTGTTTGGCGTGTGAGTTTAGGTGGTTTTACAGTTGTGCCATACTCCTTCCATTTCTGAATGATCGCTTGAACAGTGCTCCGTGGGATGTTCAAGGCTTGGGAAATCTTTTTGTAGCCTAAGCCTGCTTTAAATTTCTCAATAACTTTATCCCTGACCTGTCTGGTGTGTTCTTTGGACTTCATGGTGTTGTTGCTCCCAATATTCTCTTAGACAACCTCTGAGGCCGTCACAGAGCAGCTGTATTTGTACTGACATTAGATTACACACAGGTGCACTCTATTTAGTCATTAGCACTCATCAGGCAATGTCTATGGGCAACTGACTGCACTCAGACCAAAGGGGGCTGAATAATTACGCACAGCCCACTTTATAGTTATGTATTTGTAGAAAATGTTTGGAATCATGTATGATTTTCGTTCCACTTCTCACGTGAACACCACTTTGTATTGGTCTTTCACGTGGAATTCCAACAAAACTGACTCATGTTTGCAGCTGTAATGTGACAAAATGTGGGAAAGTTCAAGGGGGCCAAATACTTTTGCAAGCCAGTGGCTACTAAGGAATCTCTGCTTCCTGTGGAAATTGAGCCTGTTCCCTGTCTTGGTATTTGAGTTCAGTCTGTTGTTGGTGTGGAAGCTCAGATACTTATATTTCTCTACCACATCAACATCCTCATCCAGCATGTACATGGGTCATGTCACTACTCTCTTCCTTCCGAAGATGATGTTTTTCACACTCAGAGGCTTTGGATGCCTCCCAGACCACTCCACAAAATCATCCACTAGTGATGTGGACTCCTCCTCCTGCCCATCACTAATACATACAACCACTGTAGAATCAGAATTAGAGTATTTCTGCAGCTGTACTAAAAGTTAACAAAAAACACTGTAATGTAATTTATAACAGCAACGTACAACAACAGAAAAACAGTAACTTTATGCACAGCAGATGTACCAATTGGAAAACCACATGATTTCCTCATTTGTCTTGAAATAATTCAGAACCTGATATTTCGAGCGCTGGTAAATTCAGTTGATTGGACATGATTTGGAAAGGTCCTGCATATGTACATATGGCATTGACAATGCCAATCAGAGCACAAACCAAGCAATTAGGTCCAAAGAAATGTCTGCAGACATTGTATTGAGGCACAGATTTGGGGAAGGGTACAGAAAAAACAAATTGCAGCATTGAAGGTCCCAATGAGCAGAGTTGCCTCCATCATGTGTAAATGGAAGTAGTTTGGAACCCCCAGGACTTTTCCTAGAGCTGGCTGCCCGGGCAATCTGAACATTCGGGGTAGAAGGGCATTAGTCAAGGATATGCCCAAGAACCACTGGGTTCTTGCTCCTATTTGTGTAACATTATAAACATTTGTGTTTATTTGTGTAACATTATATTTGTGTAACATTATAAAACCAAACAAGGTAAAGCAAGTCCTGAGAAGTCTGCTGAATGTGAAGAACAAAATCTGGGCAATCAGCACCCATGCCCTGCCGGTGTTCAGATACCCTGCTGGAATAATCAGCTGGTCAAAGAAGGAGATAGAAGCCACTGATATCAAGACAAGGAAGCTCCTTACCATGCACGGAGGGTTTCACCCTAAGAGTGTACATCAAGCAGAAGTGAAGCAGGTTGAGGACTAGAGTGTCAGAACTATGATCTATGAGTACATCATGAAGATCCCCACAACTGATGATGTGCTTAGTGAATACCTCTGTCAGCAGACCCGAGAAAAAACAAGAGCAAGAAGAGGAACCGTTATAGAAAGGTGTGTGTGTGTGGGGGGGGGGGGGGGACAGAGAAAGAGTTAATTATAATTCCAAAATACTAAATTATGTCAATTTCTGTTATTTTTTCTTTTTAGGGGTAGGCTTCAATCTTAAATGTGGGATTGACATAATTTTAACAATTTCAGAGAGAAGCTTTTCTCACAGACCTCTCACTCATGCAGTATTGTTCACTAGGCTTAGTTTCATTTATTCTGGAAGAACATTGATCATTATATATTTCTCCTGCAAGGAGACATCCATTTGTGCTATAAAGCAATTGAGCAGAGTTGCTTTGACAAGGTCATACACTGTAGTAATAAAGTGCAATAAAGAAGTTGGCAGAAACTGTCAGAAAATGTGATGATGTTTCAGTGATGTGGCACCATTTGACACTAAGGCAGCATCTTTGACTTATTGTTGTTTGTGTGTGCTGGAAGGGAGGGGATTTAGGGACATGAAAGACCTGTGTGAAAAATTGTTAGCTTGTTTTGATTGTGCAAAAATTGCTGACAATATTTAATAGTGTATATTGTGCAAAAAAATACAACTGTCAAAATGCAACAGCATTAACTATGATGTTGTATCTTGCATGATTATATCTCATGCAAGTCACAATTTTTTTATATGCACTTAGACACTTTACTAATTAGATCTTGGTAGTACTAAGCTAAACCCCCCTTTTCCGTCATTCTTTGTGGCATACACTACTGGTCAAAAGTTTTAGAACACCCCAATTTTTCCAGCTATTCTTTCCAATTCAAGTTGTTCAAGTCCAGTGAATAGCTGGAAATTAGTGATGGCCCGCTTGAAGCTGAAGCTCTGGTGCGTGTGTCAAAAAAATCAACACACTGCTTCAGAAGCACTGTGTCGAAGCTTGATTCGTTTGGCCAGAGTCACGTGATCAGTGACGTCCGAAGCTTCATTTAGAACCTAACTGCTTCGGTATCTGATTCAATGGTTTAAAAGGAAGTGAATCATTTGCGGGATTCGTGGAGTGTTTTGATGGTGACAGATAGCGAACCACTGATCATTCCACTGAGAGATTTGGAGCCAGCGAGGAATAGAGGAGGTTCTGTTGTGTGGGAGAATTTTGAGTTGATTTTTGTCAATCGGGTGGGTTTTACAGCTTTGTGTTCTGGCCGTTTACTTTTGTTTTGTGCGTGTTTATTATATCTGAAAACGGGAAAAAGGTAAAATGTCAAAAATCTGCTTCCATAATATAAATATCATTAAATAACTTTAGAAAGACTTCCACTTGACTCTTTACATGTAATGTTGTAAAAATATATGTTTTATTGTTTAATTAATCTGAAAATGTTATTCTGCCAAATGTGCAGCAATTGAATTTATTTATTCTCTTTAGCTGATAGTTTGTGGGGCCCAGGTAGACTGTATAACTGCATCTCTACCAGTTTCTCTGCACTCCAGCCTCCTCTGTGCCATGTGAAGGGATTTTCCTTAAGGCAGGAGAAATTATCACCACGAAAAGGAACAGGTTCGGCCATCGCACAGTGGAACAAATTCTCTTCTTAAATAAAAATGAAAAAGGGTTACCTTAAATGCATCATGTTTTTAATTTGCAAGTTCATAAGCATTTTCCCTTTCCATTTCACAATCAATTCTACACCCAGGTCAAAAATATGTCTTGGAAAATTTCCCTAATATAATATTATTTATAAAAATAACCGTCTAGCAATTAACTGCATAAGTGCATGGAGGTAGGACCTCACAGCAGAAGCATACTCCATAATGTGTTGTACATTATCATATGTATATTATATGTAATGTGGTATTTTTCAATTATTGTATTTACCAACATCAAGAAGTCACAAGCAAAGAAAGACCACACAATGGTGCATGTTTAAACAAGGAAAGTTTACTGGTCAAAATTATTTATTAACCAAATAAACCACATTTTTAACCACCCAAGAATACACGTTCAACGCAACACAACGGCGGCCCAATATCAGACAAAACTCCACTCTGTAGTGGGCAATCTTAATGAAGCAGTTGGTTTTATTTTGTGGATTCAAGCGGCTCTTCATATTTTTGGCCACCAGATGTCACCAGAGAGGACTGTGTTGAAAAGCTTCGAGTAATGAACCGTTTTTCAATACAAGCTTCAATGCTTCAGAAAGCTTCATTTGGCCATCACTACTGGAAATGGTACAAAGGTAAGTGGTGAACTGCCAGAGGTAAGGTAAGGTTTCCCAAAACTGAAAAAACATGTACAATTCAGAATTTGTTATGTGAAGGCTGTATGCAGGCAGGAAAAGGACCCAAAGTGCAGACAGTCAGAGACAAAAGGTGAACTTAAATACAGCTGAACTCCAAAAAGTAACAAAACTGAGACTCTAAGGTAAACTTATGCAGACAGAGAAACATAGGGCTTAAATACATAGAGGGAGCAATCAGGGAATGGGTAACAGGAGGGAAACACAGCTGGGGCAAATCAGGCCTAACGAGACAAAGGAAGCAAAACCAGATACATTTACATGAGACATGGACTTTCAAAGTAAAACAGGAAACACAGAGACGCGAACTTGACAAAGGGATACAGCTGACAGGGGAGACAGAGCAACTAGAGAACACAGAGACATAAACCATAAGACAGAACTCTAACAAAGAAACCAAAGACTAGAAAGGATAAATAATATAATAAACTCAAAACCCTGGGTCAACGACCCAGGCATCCTAACAGAATTATACAAAAAGGCCCTTTTCAGGGAACAGAAACCTATGAGTGCCACACATTTATGGGAACATCTCCAACAGATATGGGAAGAACTTTCTGAAGAATATTTGATTTCTATTGTTGAAAAAATGTCACGG